TGGCAAATCAACAGTGTCCAGCAAAGCTTGACCAGTGAAAGTTTCTTTTGTGTAGCTTRAAAGAACGTCTGTCACTTTACACCAAGATTTGGCTGAGTTTTACTRAGCATTGTCTRTGTYWACAASCTCTTATTTTTTGCCGTGTTTACATCATTGTAATGCTAATGGTTTTTGAGATTACTRCATCTATTAACRTAAGTTTTGCATGAGAACATTGTAATAGTTTTGCTTTAATTTCACAGCATACCAAACAGTTCACCTCAGTGAAAGGATGGGTGGTGTTGTTATCAAAGCAACCATAGATGGATATGACTGTGCTGTCCTCAGAAAATGCCATATGGAGTTGGAGGTTTGTTCATGTACAGCATTATAGCAATAAAACCTCATATCACATAATCTTAAATCTATGAATTGTCCTTTAGATTCCATCAAAAATCCGTCTTAGTGGACATCTCAAGCTGTTACTTGTCCCTGAAAGGACCTTGGTGCCTCCCTCTGCATCCATGTTGAACCACCCTGACAATAAAGTAACATTTCACATCCATGGTGGGTCAGGACACTTCTCTGTGAAGGGAAGTGATGGCTCCATTGGTGCTGTTACATACAATGGCAAACGAGATATTGTGGTAAGCATTTTTTGTGTGGATTTTTTTCTTCTTGTCTTTACTCCAGCTTGGTGTTTTACTCCATTAACAGGGGGGTGCACACCATACTCAAAATGACTTTGTGCTTGCATTTAATGCCTCTTGTATGGCTATAACTGTGTCATGCACCCCCCCCCTTTCTGCTTGCTTGAATGTTTCTTTGTTCTGTTTTGTGTTATCTCTTTGTGTGTCGCATGTTTTCAATTTTGTTTTAATTCCATTTCCCTGTTTTACAGGTCAGTCCCAGGAATGARGGTCTTCTCAATGTGGTGGTGTATGATCTATGTCTAGATTCTCCTCACCCTGCAACTCTTAGYATTCAAGTATCTGATATACATAGTGTTGAAGTAACCGTGGCTAATAAGGTATGAAATCATATGAATTGAATGGATGGTTAGTTGGATGGATGGATCGACAAAATGAATAATGGGATAAACATGAAAGAATGAAATAAAGAATGAACAGATGAAATAAATGATAATTGGATCAGAGAGTGAATGGAGATATAAAAATTTGTTCAAGAAGTTGGATGGATTAATGAAAGGAAGAATGAAACAAAGAATTGATGAAAAAAATAATGAAAATTTGCATAAATGAATGAATGAGATTGAAAATTGAACGACTGTATAAGTAGTTCTAGTACGTTGCCTCTGGTCAGTGGTTGAAGTACTAACAAGTATCAGGAAGGTTATCAGTCCAAATCCTATCAGTGGACTTTTTTTTCCTTGCTCCTGTCAAAAAGCAATTAGTAATTAATTTTTCTATTTATGACTAATTGAAGTACACTTTGTTTTCAGATTGAATTAGGATCTACTACACCCCTCAAAGTCAGGCTTCTTGATATGTTTGGTGTGCCGTTACTACTAGGCAGTTATAGCTTCATGAGGCTAGCGCCACAAATAACACCTAACATCTTAACCCTCAGGTAAAAARGCACCATAGTTATTAMAWATTCCAGGSATTTTCCAGGWATTRYTATCCAGSCATTTCAYRTTAYATTATTYCTATTATTACCAGACAAGAWACARATCCAAGAAGGGACAGTACSAAYGTAGAAGTGTCCTACTTTACAGTACAAGGCATGGCTCTGGGTACAGCAAGTTTAACYTTCACTGCAACTTCTATAACTGGACGATCAGCAACCAGTAATGCCAAAGATATCCAAGTCTTCCCCCCTCTGAGACTGGACCCTAGAGTAGTGGTTTTGATACGCGGTGCAACTTTCCAGGTAATAGTCRACATCGATATAATGGTTATGATGATTGTAATCATTGTAGAATGATGATGATGATAAAAGAGAAAATTTTGTAAGATTATGCAATGGTACGGAGCAACGTAGGGACACAACACAGTATCTTCACACAAGGACTAGAAATTAAAAAAACAACAACAACAACAAAATTTAATACACATTACACATTAAGTTACAAGTTAAGTGAATAGAAAATGAAGTTCAATAAATAGGAATATGTAAGGTTTTCTTAATGTTGTGCCTAAAGGCTAAGTAAACTGGTAAGTTTTCTAGTTAGCCTTTAGTAATAAAGAAAAAAGACAATCAAAACCAATCTCTCTCGCAGGTCCGTGCCACAGGAGGCCCAACACCACAGTCAACAACATCATTTATCATGGGTAACGAGACTGTTGCATCTGTTAGCAGCATTGGTCTCATTGAAGCCAAAGAACTTGGCGTGTCCAATCTGACAGGAGCAGTACAGACATCTGACATTRAACAGACCATCATATATTCCAAGGTAACTCTCACATCTGAGTTTGTTGCAATTAAACATGGTTTTTGGCAATTCTTTAAGTAGATCTCCTTTGTGAGATTTGATGAGTCTAGTTCTAGTCTAGTCTAGTSTTTATTGCCTAGTTCTTCTCCCAAATATATGTCTTAATAAACCATTTGATTTTATCATTATTTTGTATGTTGAGAGTGGGCACTATCCTATAAAACCTGGTCTTTTTGTTTCTGTATAATTTTATCAGTTTGTTTGATGTGGTATTTTTACATGATTGATTTACAGGATGTTATCATGGTCCATGTGGTAGAGTTAGCTGGAATACGCATATCATCCATCTCCACCAACCTTATGACAGGMACCAAGGTTTGACAAGCTTAACACAATCGTTTTTGCTGTTCAATTGACAGGAACAGGACTAGTCTTGTCTTAAGTAAGATTTTAAGTTTAAGAATTTGGCTGAGCTGTTTTTTTTGTACTTTTAGATCAGTTTATATGCCACCGGATACAACCAGGAAACTCCATTTTCCTTTGCTAATGCAGTACCTGGTCTAAACTTTATCTGGAAATCAAGTAATCCTGATGTCTGCCAGCTCATGTCAACTTATCATAAGGTATACCCCTTAACCCCCCTCCCCCTGACCCCCCTCCCCCTCCCCCTGACCCTTAACCTTCCCATTCCTTCTCTACCTCTGTTTGTGCTTTTAAGTTTAAACTTCCTATGAATATTTTTTTCCTTTTTCTTCGACTTTCTTGCATCTTTCTACACCTGTAAATATTTTTCCACTTTCTTCATTTCCTTTTACTCTTCTGTCCTTCTTATCTCACTTTCCTTCATTCCTTTCTTCTTTTGTCTTTACAATCCTTTCTCTCAGCTCTTTTTTCATTCATTTTTTAATTGACCCATGTTTTCATTCATTCTTTCATTCATTTAACTTATTTTATTAATATTCTGATATACAAGCAAGGCATTTTTTTATTTCAGAGTGGCATATCAGTTGAAAGTGAGCGTGATTTCCACATTCAACTTCACTGTACCAACCCAGGACAAACAACTATCAGTCTCTCACTGGAAGTACAGGATAAATAYGCAGGACAAGTCAAGGATAGAGCAATGTTGAGAGATGAAGTCACATTCCAGGTAAGGTTATTTCACGATGATTATTATTGCTATTTGTTGATTATCTCAAATAATATTTTTGATGTCTTCAGTGTCATGTTAAAACTAGACGATCATGGATCGCTTACGTGGGCTTCCTGTGACAATGGTGTTTCATTTTCACAATATAGTCTTTGTTTGTAATAAGTCAAGACAGAATTAAGTTTTAACTTAAAATATAAAAAATATTAAAATATAATATCAAAATATGTTATCAATTTATTACATCATAATTTTTTACCGAACTGAACTCTAAGTAAATTCTTTGGATACCATGTCTTTCTCAGTTTTCCAAAATACCTAGCTCGACTTTACGCTCAAGAGCGTCTATATTATTCAAAATATCTGATAGGTCATATAGGTCATAAACAATAGAAACGGTACAGTCTTGRCAGTATAACTTTGAATAATATTTTGATCATTTTAATCATGTATCTGTATCTTGTGTTTCTGTTCTTTTTTTATTTGGTGTTTTTCATTAATTTGTCAATCTGGCGTTCTGTGCCATCATAAAGGTGTACCTTAGCCTTCTAATGACAGTTCATATTTTTGGATTTGTCTAAGTTTTTCAAGTTAAACAATCATCAAAACAAACAATAGAGAATTAAAATGCTTCATACACAATATAGATTTTGTATACAGAGTTCAGTAAAGCTCACACGTGCAGTTTTCCGAACTTCAAACACATCGTTAGTTTAGAAAATGGCATCAATATTTTTCAGANCATTTTAGAACCATTTGAAACGAGACAACTTTTTGTCGCCGTCTGTCAGCCATTTTGTTTTCATTCTGAGACGGCAGTCCATCTGCAATGCAGGCGCTACCAAAAATCGCCGATTGGTTTATTTTGACATCTCCATGGAAACTGAGACTGTAACGCATGCTCTATCGATGCGCTACTAGTCCAGCGGATAAGCTGGAAAAAACCCTAGAATTGTTCAAATTAATGAAGAAAGCACCAAATTTCCAGGATATACTGGTGATAATGTGTAGATCAATAATTGCGAGAGACCCAAACTGGATCCCCTCTGGAAAGACCATAATTTTAGTGACAAATATTTAGTGTCAGCAGTTGATATTGCGGGCTCAGTATATTATGAAAAATCCTTTTTAAGCACAATTTTCCCACAAAATCAAATTAAGAAATGTGTTAAACTATAACCAACATATTCTCCACGTATTTTGTACTAAGATTTTTAGATTAARCCACATAATACGCTAGAATTATTTGAAATGGGTTACCTGTGCTTTTTGGAGGCCTGGGCGCTTAGCTATCAAAAATATTTTCAAAATGAGTTGAAAATGCAGTGTTTCTAGTGCTGTTTTACGTAAAAACTTCGAAAAATGTCTTTGAACAATTGGAAACTATGTTGTTTGTGTCAARTTGACACAAAAGAAAGACTTGTTTGTCCTAAAATTGACTCTGAATCCAGTYATTCTACTCTAGCGAAAAATATTCGTAAATTTCAAGAGCTTGGTACTGGTGTTCCTATTCAAGTTCCTATTGAACATCTTGATAATGGCGAAGGCATAGAAAAAACYCTGATTTTCCACAGAGCATGTTGGCATAAGAAATGTTTTGCTAGATGTAATACGCTGAAATTACAAAGAGCCCAAAAGAGAAAGCGAGACCATGAAGAGGACAATGACATAAGTCGTGATGAGGAGCAAGTACAAAGTCCAGTCAAAAGAAGATCTAGAGATCGAATTCAAGTAACAACTGTAATAAAATGCTTCTTTTGTGACTCAGAGACAGGAAATCTGCATCGAGCCTCGTCATTAGATCTTGATAGGAATGTGAAAAACGCAGCTTCTAAGTTAAATGACTGGAAATTGTTGGCAAAACTGGCAACCGGCGATATGCATGCTATTGATGCTTACTATCACAAGGACTGTCATACATCACTGTTTAATCGTTTGAGGAGCGTTCAGGAATCTCAGAGCAGTTCTRCGGATAAGAACGAAAAAGAAATCCCAGCAGAATCTGTAGCTCTCTCAGAACTAGTTCTATAYATTCTAGAAGCTACGGAGAAAGGCGAAGCTGCTTATTTTAAGCTTTCTCAATTGGCAAARATGTATGCGTCAAGTCTCGCACGGCTAGGTGAATCAGTACCAGAAAGAGTGAACACTACAAGATTAAAAGAAAGGCTTTTAAATCAGCTTCCAAAGCTCCAGGTTTGTAATGATGGCAGAGACGTAAGATWGGCATTTCCTGGTGACATCGGGGCAGCTATAGATTTCATGCACTCCACAAGCTATGATGATACGGCTATGCATTTGGCTAAAGCAGCTCACTTGGTGAGGAAGGATATGCTTTCTAAAGATCAAAGTTTTACTGGTTCATTTGAACCCAATTGCCAGGTAGCATCCATTCCTGATACCCTTTTGCGTCATGTTAGTATGATACTTGAAGGACCAAAGGCTGGAAACAACCCAGATGAACCAGCATCAATTGCATCTGCTGCGTTATCACAGCTTCTAATCTATAACTCGATCAAGCATGCTAGAACACAAAAAAGTAGTACAACTCGTCGTCATGATACCGCAAGAGAGTCGCCGATAGCAATTTACATTGCTCTGGTTATCCATGCCGAAACCAGGAAAAGGACTCTAATTGATAAGCTCCACAAGCTGGGATTATGCATATCATATGATAGAGTGTTACAGATCTCAGCAAACCTGGGTAACAACGTTTGTAAACAGTTTGAGCAAGAAGGATTAGTTTGCCCTCCAAAACTGAAGAAAGGCCTATTCACTACAGGCGCAGCGGACAACATTGATCACAATCCGAGTGCAAGAACAGCTAAAGATTCTTTTCATGGAACCGCAATCACTCTAACACAGCATCCTGAGTGTAATTCTACAGGAGTTGAAAGACATCCAGTGTATCTAGATCCAAACTCCCCAAAGACGAAGACTGTGTCTGAGTTACCTGAGAGCTATACGAACATTGCTCCTGTCTTCGAAGAGGCTAAAAAGGATGTATTTGTTCCTAAAACCGGCAGAGAATGTAAACCATCACAAGACAAGATTACTGAGAGCATGAAGGGTGAATTCTCCTGGCTTGACAAGGTAGAGCAGCTTCTAGAACAAGAAAAGCTTGAAGAAAAGCAGTATTTGTCTTGGTCAGCTCACTTTGCAGCTCTTCAGAAAAATGCATTAAGACCACGAGCGATAACATCCTTGCTTCCGCTGTTCGAAGAAAAAGCAAGTACATCAGCAATGATACAGCATTCGATGAAAATAGTGAAAGATTCTACTCAATTTTTAAATCCAGATCAAGTGCCCGTAATCGCAATGGATCAGCCTTTGTATGCTATAGCTAAGCAAATCCAATGGAGCAAGTCTGAGCAGTTTGGAGAAGACAAATACTTAGTTATGATGGGGGCACTACACATCGAGATGGCTTCTCTTAAGATGATAGGTCATTGGTTACGCAATAGCGGTTGGACCAGGTACCGATATATCATGCTGTTCCCATGAAATTACAAAATTTTATCTGCAATTTCTCATATTTTATAGTGCTTTAGTCCAAGCCGACATTACGACTGGGGGTCGAGCTGATGCAGTTTTGAAAGCCAGTCACATCACCAGAGCACGCTACGCTCATCAAGTGAGTGCTTGTGCTTTAAATGTTTTGCGTAAAAAAGCATTTGAGGAAGACAAAAAGAAACCAAGTGACCCGTGGGAGAAAGACTTTGAGGAGTGGGTCCAGGCCAGAAAAATAGCGCATCCACAGTTTATGTACTGGTCTTTGGCTCTGGAATTGGAACTGCTTGTTTTGGAATTCGTCAGATCAMTCAGAGAAGGTAAGGTACTTTCAAATTTAATTCATAGGGAAAATAATGATTTCACAAATATTTGTTTAGGAAACTTTCCCGTCTACGTACAAGTACTTGGTAAACTTATTCCCTGGATGTTCGTGTTAGACCTATCAAATTACTCTAGATGGCTGCCTGTGCACATAAGAGATTTGCTGGAACTGRAAAGAAAACATCCCACCTTGCATGCTGAGTTTCTTAAAGGACTGTTTGTAGTCCAGAAGACAGAGCACCGATTTTCTATGATTGCTCTTGACCAGAACCACGAACAGGAAAATGAAATAATCAAGGGTGATGGTGGCGCAGTTGGCTTGACAGAGAACGAAGCAGCTCTAAGACGATGGATGGTTGCGGGACCAGAGGTGGCAAGAGTTGTTAAGGAATTTGAAGTGTCATTTGAAGCGAAAAAAGCTACCAGCACCGAGCACCATGAACARACACTTTCAATTCAGAAGAGCTTTTCCAAAGATGTGACATCACTTGTTAATGTAATCGAAGAGTATGGGAACCCTTTTCTTGAAAAAAGTAAAGATCTGATTGTTCTTGACACTAAAGAAATCATGCCAGAACAGGTACGAAAATCAGTGTATGAAGCCAAAGAYCAAGGCGAAGCTCTTTATAACAAGTTTGTAAAGGAGCGGCTAGAAAAGTGTACCACTGCACTGTCGGATACCATTCCTCGTACCAATTTGTCTCTGTTTGGGACCTATCAAGAAACTACTCCTGGCAAAATGAAGTCAAAGGTTGCCTCTCTGAAGAGTGACTGTAACCTTTTTGCTAGGTTGTACATAGCGTGCCAGTCCAGAGAAGGAAACTTACAAGAGTTTTTCAAGCATGAAAATAGTAGTTGTCCACCATCCCTTTCGTGCGACAATAAGATGCGCAGTGGTCAGAAATCAGACCTGATAGGCTGTTTGCCAGTTACGGCGACATCAGTAAAACCAGTTGTAGATGTCATAGTTCTTGATGCTGCGGCAGTTGTGAACATGCTTCCTCCAGGAAAGTCCAAAACATTCAAGGATTATGCCACTCTTGTTTTTCTTCCCTACTTATCAAAGCAAGCGCAAAGCGTGAAACGTGTAGACCTAGTGTTTGATCGATATCTACCCAACAGTTTGAAGCAATCCGCCAGATTAGCAAGAGGTACAGGTGCAAGAAGACGAGTATGCGAAAATGCACCAGTTCCGTGTAACTGGAAAGTGTTTCTACGTTCAGATGAGAACAAAACAGAGCTGTTCCATTTCTTAGCCGAGTGTGCATCATCAATGGAAACACAGAACGTAGCCATCATAAGTACCTTGGATGACGAGATAACAAGCTCGAATCAAATGGACAAAACAGGACTTGTACCATCCAACCATGAAGAAGCCGACTCACGAATGCTACTACATGTAAAGCATGCATCACTACAAGGCCACAATAGAGTCATGATAAGAACTGTTGATACGGATGTAGTGGTTTTGGCCATTTCATTTTTTCATAAACTGGAACTTCGTGAGCTGTGGATCTTGTTTGGTGTTGGAAAGCATCTGCGCTATTTACCTATCCACAGCATCATGCAGAAGCYAGAGCTAACAGAGATGCAATGTGAGGCCTTACCATTTTTTCATGCGCTCACTGGCTGTGACAGTGTTTCATTTTTTGCAAACATAGGCAAGAAAACGGCATTTCACGCTTGGAAGTGCTTTCCTGAAGCAACACCGGTGTTTAGATCCTTATCCTCTCCAGTCGAGTCAGTAACTGAAGATCAAGTCAGAATCCTGGAACGTTTCGTTATAACAATGTATAGCAGCACCTGCCCACATGAAAATATTGATGAAGCAAGGCAATCTATATTTTCACAGGGCACAAAGACCATCCAGCACATACCTCCAACGAAGGCGGCATTGAAACAACATTTAAAAAGAGCTGTTTATCAAGCAGGGCATGTATGGGGCCAATCTCTGGTACCTTTGCAGGAGCTACCAAGTCCATCTCAATGGGGTTGGCAAAGTATGCCAAATGGATGGGAGCCATTGTGGACAACACTTCCCGAGGCATCCAAGATCTGTAATGAACTTATTCAATGTGGATGCAAGAAAGCATGCCGAGGTCTTTGTAAGTGCACAAAGAATGACCTCCCTTGCACTGCATTGTGTCTATGCCAGGGAAACTGCTACCAAGAATAATTTAAACATTTGCATTCACAATTGACTTATAGACAAACAATTTAAACAACAACCTGAGACAAGTAGCGAACRACCTGAGATAACAAGAAGCGAACAACCTGAGATAACAAGTACCGAAAAATCTGAGAGAGCAAGTAATAGGACTTAGATGAAACATGTGACTTCCGTTCTTTTCTTCTAGTCATGCTACAAAATATTAATGTTCACAAACATTTTTTTGTCAAAGTATTGTTTGTAAACCTAGGAATTTATGGGAAAACATCAAAAGATATTAATTATGATTGTTTTAGTCATTAGAGTATTGCAGCTTTACAATATTGTTTGATTTCAATTGATTAATTGATATCGTCACTTTTTTTACAAATTGGGATCCCTGTGTTTTCCTTAGAAAACTATGGGGAGAAATACGTCCCTTGTTAAAAGCAATGCAAAAAATATTTTGAGTGGGTCTCGTTGGAATATTGTTTTACACATAATAACAACCTAAATTACACAATATGGCACTTTCTTCATTAATTTGAACAATTCTAGGCTTATCCGCTGGACTATACCAATTTGAAGCGTAATATTCACGACGACGAAAACACCAGTTGCATTTTTAGACGTGTGCTTCCACAGGAAGCCCACGTAATGAAACTATTTTTGCATCAAAGCAATGCAACTGCTAAGCTTGCAAGGGCAGTTACTGGTAAATAAGTCATACTATAAGATGGRTAAAAGGGTATCTGTCTTTGCAAAGACACTCTGTAGCTACACA